AACCCCAAACCCCCCCCACCCAACCCCTTCTATCCCCTTGTGGGGACCCCCAGACGCCCCCCAGGGAGCCCAGGACTCCCCCAAGGGCCCCCAACTCCCTTTGGGGGACCCCCCAAGCCCTCCCCAAGTCTCCTGGGGGTCCCCAAATCTTCCCCAGACCCCAACCCGGGGGTCCCCGAGTCCCCCCGGCCGCCCCCCCCCCGCCGTGTCCGTGTCGTTCCGGAGCATCTGGAAAACTCCGACCACCGAAGGCTGAAAGTTTTTACTTTTTACCGCTTGTTTTTAACTTCACAAATAAACAGAATAAAAACCACTCTGGATTTGCGATCAAAAGTGGACGGATTGGGGAAAAAAAACCCGTTATGGAGGGAATTAGGGGGGGTCCTGGGGGGAGTGCCGGGGTGAAAAAGGTGCTTCGGGGATGAAATCTGCAGAGTTTAGGGTGCAAGCCGTGATTTGAAATGAAAACTGAAGGGTTTGGGGGGGACAGGGAGAGGGTTTGGGGCCTAGGCCTCCGCGGTTGCCATGGTGACGCATCGGCGGGTCTGGGCGGTCACGTGAGGTTTGTGGCGTGACGTAGTTCCGGTCACGTGACGCCGTTTTCCGGCGGGAAGCGGAGCCGCAGCCGGAGCCGGAGCCGGTGGGGAGCGGAGGGGCCCGGGGTGGGTTGAGGGGTCCTGGGGATCACTGAAAATGTCTTCCGGGGGTCTTCACTTTGAAGGAGTCTCGGCTTTTTGGGGGTCCCCAGGCTCTGATTTTCCTTTTCCTTCCCATCCAGGATCCCTCCTGAGCCGGATCTGGGGGTGCGCCCCGCTCTCGGCCCCGCGATGGCTGCGCTGGTGAGTGGTGGGGTGGGAGGGCTCCCAAAAACCCTCCCCGGCACCCCTCAAACCTCCTCAGGGATCCCCCCCTAACCCCTTCTCCGGGACCCTAAACCTTTCACCCTAAACCCATAACCGTCCAAAAAACCTCCTGGAGACCCACCCAAACTGCGACCTCCCCAAACTGGGGGCCTGTGTGACCCCCCAGACACCTTCGGGGACTCCCCTAAAATCCCCCTTGTCCCGCAGGGCAGCAGCTCCCAGGTGGTCACCGAGTACGTGGTCAGGGTGCCCAAGTGAGTGAGGGTCTTCGGGAGGGTTTGGGGGGGTTCGAGAACGGTTTGGGGATGCCCAGGGGAAAATATGGGGCTCGGAGAGATTTAGGGGGGTTTGGGAGTGTCAGGTTTGGGAGGTTCTCAGCTGCTTTGAGGGGGTCTCAGCGGCTCGGGTGTTGTTTTGAGCATTTCAGCCGAGGGGAATTTAGGGGTGTCAGATTTGGGAGGTTTGAGGTGGCTTGGGGCTCTCAGGGGAAGTTTAGGGGAGTCTCAGATGGTTTGAAGGGCTCAGGGATTGTTCTGGGGGGGTCTCTGGGATTGTCAGGGGAAATCTGAGGGGTCTTTTTCCCCCCCCCTCCCTCAGGAACACCCCAAAACGCTACAACATCATGGCCTTCAACAGTGCCGACAGAGTGACCCTGAGCACCTGGGCACAGGTGAGGGGGAAATTTGGGGTCCCGGATCCTTTCCCACTCCTCCAGCTGGCAGAATTTGGGTTGGGAACGGCGAGATTTGGGGGTCTGTGATCTGGATCAATCCCAATCCCTGTCGAGGGGGAGGATTTGGGAACGGCGGAGTCTGAGGCTGTTTTTGGGCTTTGGATCCGATCCGAGGATTTGATCCGGCAGTGGTGGTCTGGAGGCGTGGGAGTGATGCGTGTCCCATCCCAGTCCGGCTCCAGGCGGGATTTGGGGCCGCGGGGAATGTGTTGGGATCCGGATCCCATCCCGCTACACCAGCGGTGGGATTTGGGGCTCGGGGATCGGGATGGGGATCACGGCTGAAGCCGCACGCAGGCGCGCATGGAGCGGGACATGAGCAACAAGCGAATCTACGCCGAGGAGGAGCTGCCCGAATCCGGCGCCGGCAGCGAATTCCACCGCAAGCTGCGCGAGGAGGCGCGGAGGAAGAAATACGGGATCGTCCTGCGGGAATTCCGGGCCGAGGACCAGCCCTGGCTGCTGAGAGTCAACGGGAAAACCGGCAGGAAGTGAGAGAGAGGGGAAGTTCGGGGTGGGCAAAGGGAACGGCATCCGGATGGGATGGAAGAGGGAATTAAATGGGGACAAAGAGCAGGAGTTTGGGGGGTTTTGAGATGCTGATCCCCCCCCTTTCTCTTGCAGGTTCCGGGGGGTGAAGAAGGGCGGGGTGACAGAGAACGCCTCCTACTACGTGTTCACCCAGTGCCCCGATGGCGCCTTCGAGGCCTTCCCAGTTCGGAACTGGTACAACTTCACCCCCCTGGCCCGGCACCGCACCCTGACAGCCGAGGAGGCCGAGGAGGAGTGGGAGAGGTGATCCCCCAAATCCGGGGGGAGGGGACCCCCAAAAACCATAAGGGAGACCACCCAAACCATCCTCCAAGGTCCCCCAGATTCTCTCCCAGCCCTCCCAAATCCCCTCGAGGGTTCTTTCCAAGACCTTCCCAAATTCCCTCAAGTTCCCCCCAAGCCCTTCAGAGCTCTCACAAATCCCCCCCAAGACTTCTGAAATGCCCCCCAAATATTCTCCCAGATCCCTTTGAAGACCCTCCCCGGCTCCCTAAATCCACTCTCAGGTCCCCTCAAATACTCCCAAATTCTTGTCCAGCCCCCCAAACCCCTGTGAGCCTCCCCCCAGCTCTGCTGAGCCCCCTCAACTCTTCCCCAGGAGGAACAAGGTGCTGAACCACTTCAGCATCATGCAGCAGCGGCGCCTGCGGGACCAGGACGAGGAGGAGGAGGACAAGGACAAGGGGAGGAAGGCTCCAGGCAAGGGCGGGGGGCTCCGGATCCACGACCTGGAAGAGGATCTGGAGCTCAGCTCCGAGGAGAGCGAGGGCAGCGAGGCTGAGGGTGAGAGGGGAAATCTCAAAATCCCACAGAATCCTCCTCTAAGTTCCCCCAAATCCCGCTCACATCTTTCCAAAATCCCCCCAAATCCACCCAAAGTTCTGTTCAAAAAAAAAAAAACGAGGCCAAGGGTGAGGAGGGAAGCCCCAAAATCTACCTAAAACCCCACCCAAATCCTCCCTAAAGCTCACAAACCCTCTTTAAACCCTGCCCAAAGCCCTTCAAATGCCCCCAAAGGCACAGAATCCTCCCCAAATCCCCCTGAAAGCCCCTCAAACGCCCGGAATTCCCAGGAGAGAAGGCAGCGAAGCCAAAGGCTGCCGGGGGGCGGCCGAAGAGGAAGAGGAGGAAGGGGAGGAAGGGCTCTGAGGACGAAGCCCTTGAGGACAGCGATGACGGCGACTTCGAGGGCCAGGAGGTGGATTACATGTCTGATGGCTCCAGGTGGGACTGGGGGAGCGGTGGGGGGTCCCTGGAGGGGTTTAGGGGAGATTCGGGGGGGAATTTTGGCAGTTCCTGGGGAGTTTTGAGGGTACCTGAAGGCGATTCCTGGGTGGGTTTGGGGGTTCCTGGGAGGATTTTGGGGACTACAGCAAAGGCTTGTGGCTCCTCTGGGGGGAAACTTGGAAGTCCTGAGGGGCCTGGAAGGATTTTGGGATATTCTGTGGTCACTGAGGGGGTTTAATGAGACGAGGGGTGAGTTTGGGGGGGATATTGGGGGGGACGGGATCCCCTGTGATGCCCCCAGCCCACCGAAAGTGTCCCCCCGAAACCTCCGCACCCAGGGGTGCCGAAATCCTCCCTGGGACCCCAGAACCACTCCCAGGGATCCACAAATCCTCCCAAGCCCCTCCTGACCTCCCCAATCCCCCTTTGTCCCGCAGCAGCTCTGGTGAGGAAGACACTGGCAAAGCCAAAGCGCCCAAGGAGGAGGAGGAAGGCCCAAAAGGTGGGGTTGGGGAGAAGGGGGGTGGGCGACCCCGCTCTTAGTTCCTGAGGGAGAACTGGGGGGGGATTTTTGGAGTCCAAAATCCTCAGGATCCCCCCCCTCCCCCCAACAAAGGCATCGACGAGGCGAGCGAGAGCAGCGAGGAGAGCGAGGAGGAGAAGGCAGAGGAGAAGGAGGAGGAAGAGGAGGGAAAAGCGACCCCCACCCCCCAGGAGAAGAAGAAAAAGAGGGGTAAGAACTCCCTCAACGACTTCCCCCCAGCAGGAATTGGGGGGCAAAACCCCCCCCCAAAAAAAAAAAAACGGGTTTATGACACCATCAACCCCCAGAAAGCAGCGATGAGTCACAGACGTCGGAGGAGAGCGACATCGACAGCGAGACGTCCTCGGCGCTGTTCATGGCGGTGAGGGGAGGGGTTTTCCCGGGATCCCACCCCTCCAGGGAGCCTTTGGGGACCCTGGCAGTGCCACGGGGGTGTTTGGGGGTCCCACGGGGGAATTGGACACCCCCTGACTCTTCCTTGTTTCTCTCTTCCCCCCCAGAAGAAGAAAACCCCCCCCAAGCGGGAGCGCAGGGCCTCGGGGAGCAGCTCCAGGGGGGGCTCCCGGCCCGGGACCCCCACGGACTCGGGGGGCACTGGGGGGACCCTCCGGGCTGCGGCTGCCAGGCTGGAGCAAGGTAGGAGGGCTGGGAGGGGGGGGGTTGGAGATTTGGGGAGGGGGGGAGTTGAGGGGATTTGAGGGGGGGAGGTTGGAGTTCGGGGAGGGATATTTGGAGGTCTGGGACAAAGCTGGGGTTCCAGGGAGGAGTTTTGGAAGGGGTCCAGGAGTGTCGGGGTGGATTGGGGGGATATTGTGGGGTCTCGAGATGCAAGTTTTGAGGGGCTTGGGGGCACATCTGGGGAGAGGTCACAGCTACACTGTGGAGTGGGGGCAATACCCAACTCCCTTCTGAAGAACCCCCTTCCCTCCTTCCCTCCTCCAGGCCGCCGGGCACCCCCAGGGGGGTCGGAGCCCCCTCCCCAGAAGCGGCTGAAGGCGGAGCCGGGACCACCCTCGGGCAAATGCACGCCCCAGCCCCACTCCGGAAAGTCGACCCCGAGCAGCGGGTGAGTTGAGTGGGGGCTTCAGGGGCTCGGGGACCACGGTCCTGCTGACCCCCCTCTGGCCCCGCTGACCCCTCCCCGGCCCCGCTGACCCCTCCCCGGCCCCCACTGACCCCTCCCCGGCCCCCACTGACCCCTCCCCGGCCCCCACTGACCCCTCCCCGGCCCCCGCAGGGAGGTGCAGCTGACGGAGGAGGCCGTGCGCCGGTACCTGTCCCGCAAGCCCATGACCACCAAGGACCTGCTCAAAAAGTTCCAGACCAAGCGCACGGGGCTCAGCAGCGACGCCACCGTCAACGCCCTGGCCCAGCTGCTCAAACGGCTCGACCCCGAGCGTAAACTCATCGCCGACAAGATGCATTTTTTCCTCAAGGAGTAGGGACCCCCGGAGCCATGGGAACCCCCCCAAATCAGCCCCAAAGTTTTTTTAGAGGGATCTCCTGGACAGGAACCCCAAAAATCTACGGGACATTCCCGTTTTCCCAGCGTCCAT